CTGGGTTCAATTCCCAGCACCCACATGACAGCTAACAACCATCTGTAACTCCAGTTCCAAGGGATCTAACACTCTCTTCTGACCTCTGCTGACATTGCATAACACGAGTGCACTTCCACACATGCAGGCAATACACTCATACACATTAAATAAAAATAATAAATAAAATATTTTTAAACACTAATAATAATATGTGAATTTAATTTGTCAAATGAACTGGGAGCATGGAGCCCCTAATTCCTGCCCTGCTTTGCTTCCCCAGCTCTGGGGTCAATCAGGACACACAGGGCCCGTGGCAGAGCTGGGGAAGGGGTACACGTGGTGTTACTGTTCAAATAGCTGAAGGGTATGTGTGGATTCATTGTACAGTATGTGTGTAAGTCTAACTTTTTCCATAATACAGGATTTTTAAAAGAGCTCTCTCACAAGTTGGGCATGGTGGTGCATGCCTTTAGTCCCAGCACTCGGGAGGCAGAGGCAGGTGGATCTCTGTGAGTTCAAGGCCAGCCTGGTCTACATAGTGAGTTCCAGGCCAGCTGGGGCTAAAAGAAAAGAAAGAAAGAAAAAAAAGAGCTCTCTTACCTACACAAATTCAAAACATGTATTTAAGCTCACACTTAGCTGTTCACAGATATAGTATCCACTGGCTCTGTTGCTACATTGCAAATTCTGAGGTCAACCTTAGGAACAAGTCTCATACACACAAGGGAAGAATACCTGATAGTTACAGGGCTGCATACAGACCTGGGGTTCAGGGTAGGGTATGCCACCAGAAGAGAACCTCTCAGTTCCAAATTATTGATTCCTTCTTGGCTCTGGTTTGCTTGGGCCTGGAGACAAGCCCAGCCAGCGAGCCCAAGGTACCAGTCTGCACATTCTGGTTGATGGGCTTTGTTTTATATTTCATCAAACCTAACTGTGGCCTGCCTAGCTGACATCTAAGTGAATTTAATTACCTCTGAAATAATTCACAATTGCAGACTGATCTCAGATTTTAGTTTTAGAAAAAGAAGAAAAGCAAGTTGGGGGGCCGGAGGGTAATGTACTTGTTAGCATGTGTGTGGAGGCCAGAGATTGATGGATTGATAACAGGTATATTTCTCCCTCATGCTCCACCTTAAAAAAAAATTTAAGACAGGGTCTCTCACTGAATCTGAAACTCATCGGTGTGGCTAGGCTGGCCAGCCAATGTCTCCACCCTCTCCCAACCTGCCCCCAGCACTGGGGTTACAGGCTCCTTTCCCTCACACACCCAGCTTTTATGTGGCTTCCAGTGATTCAAACTCAGGTCCTTAGGCTTGTGCAGCAGGCACTTTACCAACTGAACCATTTCCCCAGCACTGCCCCCCAATCGTTTTAGTAAACAGTCTTTGAGAAAATAGATTATGATTTTACAATAAGCAAATCCATTAAAATACATGTAAGATAAAGGATAAAATATATGACCCATTGTATTTGGAGAAAAGAACTACAATGACCATTTGGATAACTAGCCTGGCAAGTGGAAAGGGAGGGATATGGTCCTGGTTCCTAGCCTGTTAGAGTACGCAGCCTTTCAGGGTTCTCCAGAACACTCGAAAGGACAGTAGTAGAGTCCAGGTACAGGACTACAGGGTAGAATTCTGTCTACCTAACATACACATGGTGAGCTTCACTCACTATAGCATAAGACTGACGTACCTCAGCAGGACCGGTCAACACCACTGAGCTTCAAAAGAAGAGCAGTCTGACACTGGTTAATACGAAATTTCAGGTGAGTCCAAAGAATCTTGTGTTCTTAATGTTCTTATTCAATTGCTCCAGGTTCTATAAATTTTTCAGTGTTCTTAAAATGTGATGTTGAATCCGGATATGCTTGGACCAGCAGGACAGGACAGGACGTGCACTCATTTTAGTAGAAGCCATAGGCATCCCCAGGCTTTCAGAGTGTTAGTTCAGGAAAAGGGCCATTGACTTTACTCATCCTCCACAATCATTGCACAAAGATCTGTTTCCAAGGCTCTCAGCGCCCCCCTCCCCCCGCGCGCGCCCTGCCCCCCAGCAAGGACCTCAAGGATTTAGATGGCTTGGAAGGTGTAAAACTACTAGGCAGCAGGAGTGAGTAGCTACTGGGTCCACAGATGCTTGCTCACAGGCAGCCACTTTTCTTAGAAGTCAGCTTTCCTGCACCCCGTTGGCCAAGGAGGCAGAACTTGGTGTCAGGGCAGGCCAGACATCCCCACTAGCTGCCCAGTGCTCCTGGAGCTCTGGGGAGGCATCCCTAATGACAGGTTGTTTCTCCATCATCCACTCCTGCACAGCAGCCTTGGAGGCTCCAGGAACCCACCCGGAGTTAGGGCTCACGTTTAATGACCAGGTAGGTACCCGGCAGCAGTCACACACACCCTCTCATTACCTCTGAACTCCTCAAATAGAATGCTGTCATCCAACACCAGATACAGTTCTTATTTACGTGTATCTTAATGAAGAATTTTAAAAACAAGATATGCGTCCCCCTCCCTCCTTCAATCTGTCACTTCACTTCATCCATCCCAGAAATACACCTCCCTGTGCGGGTACTGTTGAAGCATCCGTGAAGAAAACAGATCAAAACCCCTGCCCTCTTGGATTGACTTTGCCAGTGCAGTAAGTATTCTGATGGCCAAAAAAGTTTTAGATTATTTCCCTCCCATATTCATGCCAGTCTCTCAGAGAGTTGGCTTTCTCTGCTTAATGCAATTAACTTGATAGAAACAATAAAATCCTCTAGCCTGCGAAGAACAGACTCTGCCCAGGCGCAATCCAATTCGCCCAGCGTCTTCCAACGCTTTTCCCCACTCTGAAAATCTCCACACCCTGCAGGTGGTTGGCGGGAACCCGTCCCCGAGCCCCGCAGAGGCGCGCTACTCACCGAAGAGCCCGCCCAGAACCGACACGAGTTCTTCACCTGCGGCGAGCTGCTCAGCGACAGCGCCCCGAAGCTGAGCGCCACCATGCAGCAGCCCAGGATCAGCTGCAGCAGCCGGAGCGACAGCAGCGCGGAGCCGGGGACGGTGGGACCGCGGGAGGACAGCGCGGGCGACGCGCCCAGCACCGCTGAGGCGGCGGCGGCGCAGCGAGGCCTGACCGCGGGCTGCAGCGCTCCCCGGGGCCAGCGCGGCCGCAGCGGGGGCAGCGGAGGCTCCTGGGCGGCAGCGGCGCCCGGACCCCCGGCCTGCGGCCCGCCTGAGCCAAGGGCGCCGAGCACTGGGCACCGGCGGGGCGGCGCAGGGAGGAAATGCGCACGGCCCAACCACTTGCTGCAGCCGCCCCGCCGGCCGCGCCCACCTGCCCCCGGGGTCCGCCTCCGGCGTGCGCTGCCCCGCAGTGTCGCCCACGCGCACCCGCAAGTGTACTGCCGCCTCGGGTCACCCCGCGGCGCCCAGTGTTTAAAGCAGCCAGGAGGGAACCCGCAGCCAGCTGGCTACTGACGGAGTCCCCAGCCGCCCTGCTGGGCCACACAGCAGGGTCCAGGGAAGCGTCCTGGACCCTTGGTCCCTAGGAGGTGCGTCCTGAGAGCCGGACCCTGGAGACCTTTAAATGGGGAGGCCAGCGCTGGTCCCATCCCCACCCTGGGAGGGTGACGCCAGGAGGAGGGACTGCGGGCGACCTGATGGGAATAGGTCTGAGTTAAGGACCAGGAGGCTGGCTGGAAGTTACCACTCCCGAGCGGGAACTGCCTCTGTCAACAGTGTGCGGCAGCACGGCCATCTGGAGGGCACCTGGAGGGGACCCGCTGCTTTCCCAGCACCAGGGTGGGCGAGAGTGGCAAGGCCTGGGGAAGTCACTACCCAGAGTCCAGAATGGAAGAGCCCAGGGAGGCCCTGCACTCTTGGCAAGGGTCACACTCTCCACCCTTCTTGCTTGGCTCAGAACTAATTAGCATCACCTGATAGAATACAGAATCCCAAACTTCCCAGGAAATAGTCTAATAAAAATCGTAATCGGCTTTGGTAATGTATGATACATCTATCGACCTTTAAAGAAAAAAAAAAATGATTCGCCTTTGCAAAATGATTTCCCCTAGTAGAATGCCTTGTCCCTCGGAAGAATTCTAATGTTTACAGAGTATCATAGATGAGATGATTATAATGGATTTCTTTTCCAGATAAGAACCAGGGCAGTGTCAATTTGCAGACAGCCCTGGAAGTCGAAAGCGTGTCTTATGGGTAAGGTGGGGGTATTTGATATCTTCCTGTTCAGTAAAGCAAGAGAAATGTGTTTGTTTTTATCTGTTTGTGAAGGCTGTGTTTGTTTTGGTCATTACTTCAACACACAGTGTGATGTATTACCATGTGTTTACATACACACTTTCTAAGTTATTAAAGCACCTGTGATTAATAGTCCCCAGGATTTCCTTTCAGACTATTCTCAGGGATAAACCAGGTTTTGGAGGGAAAAGGAAATGTCTTTTTAAATGAACGTTTAAAATATGTTGATTTATGCACTTAAAAAAAAAACTAGGTGGGCATGGTGACACACACCCTTAATCCCAGCACTTGGGGAAGCAGAGGTAGGCAGATGTCTGTGAGTTCAAGGCCAGCCTGATCTACATAGTGAGTTCAAGGCCAGCTGGGGCTACAGGGAGACCCTGTCTCAAAAAGACCAAAACAACAACAACAACAAAAAACCCCTACAATGTATGCTCTTAAATTGCAAGTGATGACAAGTTTAGTTTCTTTGGTTGTTGAGGTTATGCCCTTTATTTTATATGCAAGCTTAAAAGTGTTTAATCTTTAAGAATGTATTACACCATGTAATATGGTAAGACTACTGAGTCTTAAGACATTTTTCTCAACTAAATAAATCTATTCTATTGGCCAGCCCTTGACAACTGAAACGTGCTATTAAAAATGCATTCCTTGTGTCTAAGAATGTTGGTGTCAGAAGTCAGGATATCCTCCTTCCCTTGGGGATAGTTATATTTCTGGAGCAGCAGTTGGGGGGGTGCTGGAACAATCCATTTCTTTTTTGTTTTGGGGGGGTGGATTTTTTGGTCTTTTTGAGACAGGGTCTCCCTATAGTGCATTCCTTGAGTCTAAGAATGTTGGTGTCAGAAGTCAGGATATCCTCCTTCCCTTGGGGATAGTTATATTTCTGGAGCAGCAGTTGGGGGGGAGGTGCTGGAACAATCCATTTCTTTTTTGTTTTGGGGGGGTTGGGGGATTTTTTTGGTCTTTTTGAGACAGGGTCTCCCTGTAGCTCCAGCTGCCTGGAACTCACTCTGTAGACCAGGCTGGCCTCAAACTCACAGAGGATCCACCTGCCTCTGCCTCCTGAGTGCTGGGATTAAAGGTGTGTGCCACCACGCCCCGAAACAATCCATTTCTTAATTCAGGTGCTAGTTACACAGGCAAGAGTCACGGTGAAGATTCATATAGTTACACTTAGGATCTATATGCCTCTCTGTTTCATACTTAAAAGGTTTCTAAATGCTCGGTTTCACTATGCAGAGACAAGTGAACTTCACAGATGATGGTTTCTATCTAATAGCCTTAATCATCTGAAGATTACCAAACCTCCAAAGCTCCTACCTAAGGAAGCTAGCTTGTTGTTTCACTCTCCCTGTCTCCCTTCATCCTTCCCTCGCTCTCTCTCTCCATCTCTCCCTCCTCTCCTCCCTCTGTTGTTTGTTAGCCATATTTCTAGCTCTGAATTTTTTTCATGTTTTCATAAACACAAATCTGGATAAACACTGCCTCAACCTTTAAAGTTATATTGATTGGCATTGCCCAGTATTTGTACTTGGGATTCCTGTAACCAGAGCCTGATTCTTTGCACCTCACAAACACCTGCTTATAGTAAGTGTTTAGTCACACTTGATCAAGCTGTATAAAACAATACCCTTAATGATGATTCAGAGCCACTGAGTCCAAGTTGACACAAAAATAATAAAGTGAGCCCTTTGGAGAAGTCTGAAGTCCCTCACGAGTTAAACATAGAATTATCATTTGGTACAAGAATCTCACTCCCAGGTAGATCTGAAAAAGAAATGGAAATGAACATTAACATAAAATTTGTACAGAAGTAACTTCATTAGTCTCCAGAGCCAGAAGATGGGAACAACACAAGGCAGTCAACTGAATAAACAGAACAAATCATGGGATACCTACTTGTTGGAATGTTTAATTGGCAAAAAAATGGATTAAACACTCATGCATGCTGCAATGTGAATGGACCCTGGAAACATGCTAAGTGAACAGGCCAATCACAGAAGACTACACTCTACAAATTCATTTACATTAAATGTCTACCAAAACAGATCCATGCAGACAATAAGTTGCCTCATGGTTGTTGAAATGGGGAGACTTGAATATGGGATTTCTTTTCAAGGTGATAAAAGGATTCTAAAATTGACTGTGGTGATGACTGCACAAGTCTATGAATATATGAAAAAACACTGAATTATATAAATGGTACCTGATATGTGAATTATGTCACAGTAAAGCTGTTACCAAATACAATAAAGGGGAAGAACCTGTGGAAAACGACCCAGATACTTCATTAATATAGGTAAAAGTTCATGTTAACAATAGCTGTCCTGTATTGTTTCATGGAACCCAGCTGACAATTGTCCTCAAGATCAAAGTCAATTCCAAGAAGGTTGTTATCTCCTACCCACTATTCCCATGCCTGTCCCTCAAGTTCCAGTTCCTGCTCTTAAAGCCTTCTCCACTGAGGAGTCCAATGCTCTGGACACTGTTCAACTCACTCAGCAGACCAAACCTGCAAAGCTAGTTAAAGGAGACTGTTCCCATCACTGTGAGAGCTGAAGAAACCCTCCTCAAAGCATATTCCCAGACAACCTGTATTCAGCTGTTATGTTTCACACAAAAAGAGGAGCGTCTTTGAGTACAGAGAATCCTGTAGACTCTGGAAGGCTCTGGAGTTGCTTCTCATAGTGTGTTCCACAGACCCCAGAACCATGCTGATGGGGTTTGTTGAAATGCTGGGTCACAGGCTTCCCCCTAACCCCTGTGGAATCAGACCTCAGAACCATGCTGGAGTGGGGCATGTTGAAACTGAGGGTCATTTGCTTCCCCTACCCCTATGGAAGTTGACACTACTGAATGTCTAAGGACCTGCCTTTTAAATATAGAGAAACATTAGTGTTTGCTTATATGGTTATTTAGGAGAAGGCTAGGGACAGTTATTATGTTAGAAGGCAAAAATAGAGAATTTGGTCTAAAAGCTGACTCACATATAAATATTTTAAGGAAGAGAGTGCCAGACAAGCACTGCTGCACAGGTGACTTTTAGGCACAATGAAATGGACACAGCACCTGCCTCCCCTCAGTTATCTCACACCAGTCAGGAGTTTCTCTGGTCTTGGTTATTACAGATCCAAATTATCCAGGATGAAACCTCAAAGTCACTCTTGTAAACCCCAAGGCTTTGGGTCCCCTGGTCATGGGTTTTTCCAGAGGGCACTGTAATATACAATAGGTCTGGAGAAATGATTGAGTACAGACTGCCTGAGAGCATCGTACTACACAAAGTTTGTGTAGGTGATTTTTAAAAATATTTTATTATTTTTATTTTATGTGTATGAGTGTATTGCCTGCATGTATGTGAGTGCACCCATGTCGTGCAATGCCACGGAGGTCAGAAGAGGGCTTTGGATTTCCCTGGAACTGGAGTTAAGGACGGTTTGTAGCCGCCATGTGGGTGCTGGGAATCAAACCCAGGTCCTCTGCAAGAGCAGTCAGTGCTCTTGCCGCTGAGCCATCTCTCCAGCCCCATAGAGGTTATTATTAAGAGAAAGAGAATTGAATGAATGAATGAATGAATGAATGAATGAATGAATGAAACTCTGAGCAGAACTGGAAATAAATTGCTAATGCTTTGACTTCCAACACAGATGTTTGTTAAACAGAAAGGCTGCAGCCATATTTTTCTCATTGAAATTAAATACTTATGATGAAAATTCCACAAAAGACAACCTGTATCAACGGTCTTAAAATTATTTGTTCCTCAAAAATTTTGAAGGGACATAAGCTAGTGCAGATATACTTAAAAAGTGTGTCCTAGCTGGGCGTGGTGGCGCATGCCTTAAATCCCAGCACTCAGGAGGCAGAGGCAGGCAATGTCTGTGAGTTGAAAGCCACAGACCTGTCTGTGAGTTCCAGGACAGCTGGGGCTACAGGGAGACCTGTCTCAAAAAGACCAAAAAAAAAAAAAAAAAAGTGTGTCCTAATGTATATGAATGTCTATGTCTATGTAAAACCTTGTAGTATCAGAGTTTCCTGTTGTTTCAAGTTTATACAGAAATCAAAGCTGTAATTCAGCTTTGAGTGGAGACTGTTTCTCTAGTAAATTTCTTGAACATGTATTTTAAGCAAATATGAATCCTACACACTTCTGAAACAAAGATGCATGGAAAGGTGCACAATGACAGAGGTGGTCTGGAACTACTGTGAGCAGAGTTGCTTATCCCTGTACTAGGGAGCTCTTTGTCATGGGTGCTGGTCAGATTTAGCAAGGAAACTTGAGAAATTACATATACTTTCTAAGGCTCTACATGCAGAGATGCTGGTGTGTGGGGTCTGTGGTGGGGTGAAGCTATGCAAGTGTTTTTAGTAGATGCGTCCCTGGAGACCCAGATGTAGGCCTGATCCTTCAAAGCATGACTCGGGGACCAAGACATCTTTATAGGCAAGGATTTAGAGTGGGGCGTGTATGGTATGTTTGTGTGTGGTGTGTGTGAATGT